ATTTGATAGCGATGTGGATAGTGTTGCTGTGAGCGTCTCCCTCTACGTTGGACGCAACGCACTGGTAGCGTCCGGAGCGCTGGCGTCCCACTCGCTGTAAGGCAAGAGTGGCTTCACTCACCAGTACTCCTGCACTCACGTTGTGAACCAACTCTTCACCCTGTAAGGGAGACGTTATGTGGTTAGTGCAGAGAGAGAGAGAGAGAGAGAGGAGAGAAAGAGAGAGAGAGAGAGAGAGAGAGAGAGAGATACCTGTGTCAAATATATTGTGAGCTACCTCTATCCTCTGGAGGAAAGATTTATGAAAGGGAGAACCCAAAAGAGATAGAAAAAATAGAGAGGGGATAGGGCGATGGTTAGACCATCATTGCGTACTATGTACTATCTCCCCTACGGTAGGAAAAAGGGAGGAAAGGAAGCGGAAGAACTGAATGAGAAATGAGGAAATGGGAGACAGGATATATAGATGGAAAACGTAGGAAGGAAATAATCAATTGGGGGGAAAAATGTGCGTGAGGAAGGAGTGTGTGTGTGTGCGTGTGTGTGTGCGTGTGTGTGTGTGTGTGTGTGTGTGTGTGTGTGTGTGTGTGTGTGTGTGTGTGTGTGTGTGTGTGTGTGTGTGTGTGTGTGTGAGAATGAACTAGCATGAGCATCAAACAGCAGTTTGATGTAGGAAGATAGCACACATGTAGGAAGTTTGGTGTAGGAAGTTTGGTGTAGGAAGATAGCACACATGTGTCGCCTTGCAAACAGCAGTTTGCAAGGCGACACATGTGTGCTATCTTCCTACACTGCATCTAGCAAATAACATTGAACATGCATCTTGCATGGAGCCAGGTCGTGACCTTCAGGTCACGACCTGATCATTGATGGGCGAAGCAGAGCAGTGAGGGGCTTGCCCATATGCTAATGTGCTCTTTGAGGCCTGATACTGCTGTCTGTTGGAGCAGGTTGGCAGAGGCTCTCAAACAGTATTGTTGATTTCATACCAGGGACAGAGTGTGTGTTTGCTAGGGTAGGGATACTACACTCCACTACCATCCTTCAGGCCTTGTCTATCCCCGAAGGTATGAGAGAATGCATTACCTGTCATCAGTTTCATGCCAAGGATAGACAGAGAGAGTATGCTAGAATAGGGATACACTCCACTACCAGCCTTCAGGTCCTGTCTATCCCCAAAGGTATGAGAGAAAGCATTACCCGTGATCGGTCTTCTCTATCCCTTTCCAAACTTTCCACTCTCAACTTTTTCTTGTCGGCGACTTTACCTTTGGTGCTACCCCCTCACGGAAGCAATAAAATTAAACTTGCTGGCATGACTTTCCGAGGTCGGGAGGAGCTTGTACCCTTAGGCTAGTGTTGTTGTTGTTGTTGGGGTTTATAGGGCCACTGACAGCGTACGCCGTATCGAGCCCTCTCAGGCGAGTGGACCAGACAACTAGGCAAGGCGGGAATCTACCCTGATACACTCCTGGCTTGTATAACTAGACGTGCTGTTGGAGTATGAGCAATGTAACATTTATGAGAGGATTCAGGGAAACCGGTTAGCTGGACTTGAGTCCTGGAGGTGGGAAGTACAATGTCTACACTCTGAAGGAGGGGTGTTAATGTTGCAGTTTAAAAACTGTAGTGTAAAGCACCCTTCTGGCAAGACAGTGATGGAATGAATGATGGTGAAAGTGTTTCTTCTTCATTTTCAGGTCACCCTGCCTTGGTGGGAAACGGCCAATGTGTCAGTAAAACATAAAAACATTAGTTGTGAAAAGGAATCTTCTCTGGCAATTGTAATGAACGTGTGTGTGTGTGTGTGTGTGTGTGTGTGTGTGTACCCTGTCAATCGTATCTCCATAGGGCACTGTATTAAGATTACGTTTTGCTCTGAGTAGAGCTTTATCAAGCTTTGACGAAGCTCTGCTGTGAGTGAAACGTAGTTTTTAGAGCATGACTCACGAAATCGTAATGACGCGATTACAAACAAACTATACCACGGGTGAGGTTAGAACCAGCGATCAGAGAGTCCAGTGGCTAGCGCGTCGGTCTGGAGTTCTGAGACTGATCGAGGGTTCTAACCCCACCCGTGGTACGGTTTATTTACCCTGTACATCGTGTCTGTTTTTCACCACCTCTAACAACTTCAGCTTGACGCAGTAGTAGATCAGTAGACAGCACCATCCAGAGAGGCACTACCGTCCTGGTCACCTTCCATCTGCTGTCTCTGGTCGCCTAGCAGTACATAGGCGCATGACTTTTAATCTCCTTACATCTGTTTCCGCTGATTTTCTTGCAATAATTAGGTACCTGGGTGTTAGTTTCATTACATGTGTTGCCTCTGTTCACTTTGCAGTAAGTAGGTATGCTAAAATAAGATTATTTGCAGATAAAACAGATTGTTTTAAGGAAGTTTTAAGACTAGTTCTGTTTTTCATGTAGATATCTGTAATTCAGCTTCGTGGAACACTGGTGTGTTGCAAGCTAAATTAGCCAACAGTATCTAGGTGTTTCAACAGATGTTTAGCTGGAGTAGCAGCCAATCAGTGTGGCACACTGTTGGTTTTTAACGGGTTGTAAAGGATCATTCAGGCTGAAAGTCATTTGTCCTCCACCAGTAAAGATTACTTTAATAACGGTACTAGGGACTGAAGAGAACTTTCAGTGTATATACACTGAGGACCCAGTAGTGTCCAGTAGAAGAATCGGAGCCAGGAGCTATGAATCAACCACAATTTGGGGAGTACACACACAAAACAATGTGTTGAGTGAAGTGAGGTGATCATAAAAGACAGATCCAAACCATATGACGAGAGTGAAAGCTCTCTCTCTCTCTCTCTCTCTCTCTCTCTCTCTCTCTCTCTCTCTCTCTCTCTCTCTCTCTCTCTCTCTCTCTCTCTTTTGAAGAATTTACGCACATTAGTATTTGCCTTGACGAGAAATGCAGTAATTTCTAAAAGTTAAAACTTAGAGTTAGAAGATTATAAGGAACCGTAAACCCGGTTAAGAGACTTCAAAGGTACACACACACACACACACACACACACACACAGATAGAACTATCTACTATCGACCTTAAAATCTATCGTGTATCTATTTCTATCTAGATTAAGGACTATCATCTATTTTCTAGTTGTATGGACACGCCTGGCATGGGTCAGTAGGTCTACCACAGTGCTCCTTCTTTCTCACGTTATTAAAGCCATGGATAGAAAAGCAAAAGGCTCTCTTAATATAACAGTTTCTGCAGCTGTCCAAGACAGCAGCTGGGACTGAGGAGTTAAACTACTGTGTGTGTGGAGTTCTGCCCGAGTGCTGCTGCCAAACATTTACCAGATTACTAAAAACTAATCTAGTTTAAACTTGCTATGTACTTTCCGAGCGTGCAAATTACTACGTTAAAAACTTTCCTACACTAAATCACAGGTCACTGTCGAAAAGAAAAAAAAAAACTTTAAAAACTTTACACTGTGACTTTCCGAGACGTAATTCGGTTATTCAAGAAAAACTTTTGGTTTATTCCAAGCAAATTTAAGTCGCGTTTTAAGAGTTATCTCAGCCCCAAGTTTTTTTTTTTTTTTTGGATCTGCAAGGCTGAGGGACTGATTGCTTCATATTCCACTGTTTTCGTATACCATCTCTGTGTTGAACTGATAAAGCCACTGGTGGGCGAAACAGTATTGAATACTATAATTGTAGACTGCCTCTCAGTCTGGCGACGTTTTGCTCTGTGTCCACCTTTATCAAGCTCTAAGCAGAGCGAAATGTTGTCCCAATGCAAGCTTGTGTTTTTTGTATTTAGGTTTATTTCTGAAATACGACATTTCGCCCTATGGGCGGGGTATTTGTGTAGGGTTCTATAGGCCTAGGCAAAAATAATCTCCGTGTTTACTAGACTAGCCTATGATAGAATCATTTGTAAATGTAGGTTTGGATGCTGCGCTTCCTTCCGTCATCTCAGGCCGGTGGGATTGCCGTCGTAAGACGATCCAGTGCCCGATCAGTTGGGCTGTGGTTCGTGCGCTGGATCGCGTGCTTCCAGCAGTAGCAGCCTGGTTTTCCAGGCTCTGTTCCAGCGGGAGTCCTGGTCAAGAACCGGGCCGCGGGGGGGTGGTGTTGACCTTGTGTTGACATGCGCTCGTCTTTATGCCTCATGTCTAATCTTCCACGGGTGCAATAATCTCATTCTTCCATTCGAGGTGCTAGTCATGTCTATTTCTATCCTCACCTCTCAACCTTGTGGCTAGAGAGTGAATCAAACGGAGAATATACACAGAGAGGCGTTTCCCTTTCAACTCCTTTGCCCCCAAAGTTCATCTGTAATCCCTTCCATGACATTGACGTATTCCTGACTGGTGGTAAACGGGTTACATGCAGCCTTAATGACCCTCGTGTAGTCAAAGGGCTTTAAACCCCATTAACCAGCCAATGGCTTACAAACATACTTCAAAAGCCATTGATATTGATATTCCAGTATTACCTACGAACTCACTTCTTTTCAAGATTGCTTTAGTTTTTAATTTTTTGATTGAGTTAGATTATTTTAAGCTTTATCATAAGCTTTATATTTTGTTTCATTAATTAATTCTGCAGTTGTTATTGACTCTTGTTTAAATTTTCATAAATTTAATGAATTATTTCTGTAGGAGAGTCGTTCCAGTCGCAGTTATAACATTATCTAGGAACATCTGTAAAATTAATAACGTCTGGTAAACACCTGCACGTCTAGAAACCTGGTTTATACCTGCTAACATCTGCCTACACACACCTGCAATCTAGAAACCTCTATAAACTTTCTAACATCTGTCTACACCCATCTGCAAGTTTAGAAACCTCTAGAAACTTACTAACATCAGCCTAAACACACCTGCTTGGCTAGAAACCGTTATACACCTACTAACATCAGCTTAAACACACCTGCTTGCCTTGAAACCGTTATAGACCTACTGACATCAGCCTAAACACACCTGCTTGCCTAGAAACCGTTATACACCTACTGACATCAGCCTAAA